CCCCGGGAGCATTCCCGGGATGGCACAGCCCTGGAATGGCACAGCCCCGGGAGCATTCCCGGGATGGCACAGCCCCATCCCACCCTCTCGAGCTCCCCGGCGGTACCTGCGGAATCTCCTGTCCGGGAGCTGCCGGGATTTCCCGGGAGCAGCTTCCAGGTCCCGCCGGTGCCCGGCCAGGAGCCCGTCGGTCTCCAGGGGGTCCCCCCCGTCCCCCTCCGAGGGCGTCTCCAGGAATTCCTTGTCGTTCCAGGCTCCCAGCGGCCCCTCCAGGGCCTGGTAACGGATCTCGATGGAGAGGGAGGCCTGTGGGAAAGGGAGGGAGCACCTGGAAAACCCGGGAGCCGGGAGGAGCTGGTCCTGTTCCATCAGCTCCCGGCTCAGCCCGGAGTCTCTCCTTCCCTCATCCAGAGTCTCTTCTTCCCTCAGCAAAAGTCTCTCCTTCCCTCATCCAAAGTCTCCCCTTCCCTCAATCCAAAGTCTCTCCTTCCCTCAATCCAAAGTCTCTCCTTCCCTCAATCCAAAGTCTCTCCTTCCCTCATCCAAAGTCTCTCCTTCTCTGATTCAGGGAAGGGCTGAGTGGATTCATTGGGAAGAGCTGAGTGGATTCAGGGAAGAGCTGAGTGGATTCATTGGGAAGAGCTGAGTGGATTCATTGGGAAGGGTTGATGGATTCATTGGGAAGGGCTGAGTGGATTCAGGGAAGAGCTGAGTGGATTCATTGGGAAGAGCTGAGTGGATTCATTGGGAAGGGATGAGTGGATTCATTGGGAAGGGATGAGTGGATTCATTGGGAAGAGCTGAGTGGATTCATTGGGAAGAGCTGAGTGGATTCAGGGAAGAGCTGAGTGGATTCATCGGGAAGAGGCAGGAGGTGGCTGTTCCCGGAGGGGGAAGAGGGAATTAAAGCAATAAAAACACCGGGAATGGGCCCGAGGAGGGAAGGAAAAAACGCAAGGAGAGCAGATCTGGGATGCTGGGAGAAATAACTCCGGCTGCTCTCCCTCGGTTTGTTGGGATTAAAGGAACAGGACTCTCCAAAGGAGGAGATCCCAGATTTTTCCGAGCTTTCAGTGTGACAGGGGGAGGAAAAATCAATGGATGGAATCAAATACACACGAATTCCCGAGGACAAAACCGGTGGGTTTGGGATGAACTAACCCAGGGCTGAGGAGGGGCCTCAGAGCCCAGCTGGGAAACAGGGAATCCTGGAATGGTTTGGGTGGGAAGGGACCTTAAATATCTCATTTCATCCCATTCCATGGACAGGGACACCTCCCGTTATCCCAAGGAATCCAACCCGGCCTGGGACACTCCCAGGGATCCAGGGGCAGCCACAGCTTCTCTGGGAATTCCAGCCCAGCCCCTCTCAGCCAGGATCTATCCCACATTTATTCCCACTGGCATTTTCCACGTGGGATATCCCAGGCCTTGCCCTCCGGGGTCTCTCTTCCCGAGGCTCCCTCAGTCCAAACTTATCCCAAAGTTTGCTGGACCAAAGGCTGGGAATGGGTGGTTTGGAGCCCCTGGAGTTGCAAAGGGAGAAGGGACCCGGAATCCTGCTGGGAACCCAAAGGGCAAATCCCTCCCAGCTCTGGTGGGAACAGGGAGTGACCCTTCCAGAGCCTAAAGGGGTTCCAGGAGAGCTGGAGAGGGACTGGGGACAAGGGATGGAGGGACAGGACACAGGGAATGGATCCCAGTGGGAAAGGGGAGATTTGGGGGGGAGATTGGGAAGGGATTCCTGGTTGGGAGGGTGGGGAGGGGCTGGGCTGGAATTCCCAGAGAAGCTGTGGCTGCCCCTGGATCCCTGGGAGTGTCCAAGGCCGGGTTGGAGCCACCTGGGATGGCGGGAGGTGTCCCTGCCCGTGGCAGGGATTGGGAATAAAATGATCTTTGAGGTTCCCTTCCCACCCAAACCACTCTGGGATCCCACGACCCCATCCCTGGGCCGTGGCGCTCCCCCCCCACCCACGCTCGGATCCCTCCCCGTTTGCTCCCATCCCAAACTTCCCACGCCGCAGAAAATCCGAGTTTCACCTTTCCCCTCAGGACATTCCCGGCCGCCTCGTTCCTTCAGATCAGGAGCCCTGGGCTGGGGGATCCAGGGATTGGGGAGGGTCCCCCAACCCCAGAGGGTCCCCCAGGGGTGGGGACAGACAGACAGACGGACAGACAGACAGAGGGACAGGCAGCTGTTTGTCCCCCCCACCCCGTCCCACCTGCGTGGCCGAGTTGTTGTCGTCGATGAGCGTGTCCGTCACCTCCAGCTGCCCCTCCTGCACCACCTCCTGCAGAACCATCCGGAACGTTCCCAGGAGCCTGCGGAGCAAAGGACACCCCGCTCAGGGCGCCAGGGACCCGGATCCGCCAGGGAAGGGCCTCCCGGGAAAAAGTTATCCCGGGATCTGGGGGCTCCCGTTCTCCTCCCGAGGAGGTGGGAGATCCCGGAGCGGAGACCCCGGCACAGGGGGAAAGGGGGAGATGGGAGAGAGGCTTTTCCCAGGGAATGTTGGAAAAGGGGGAGGGTTTGGGAATAGCCTTTCCCAGGGAATGCTGTTGGGATGGGAAAAGAGGAAGGGTTTGAGAACAGCCTTTTCCAGGGAATGTTGGAAAAGAGGGAGGATTTGGGAGCAGCCTTTCCCAGGGAATGCTGTTGGGATGGGAAAAGAGGAAAAGTTTGGGAGCAGCCTTTCCCAGGGAATGTTGTCGGGATTGGAAAAGAGGAAGAGTTTGGGAGCAGCCTTTCCCGGGAATGCTGGAAATAAGGGAGGTTTTGGGAGCAGCCTTTCCCAGGGAATGCTGGAAAAGAGGGAGGGTTTGGGAACAGCCTTTCCCAGGGAATGCTGGAAAAAGAGGGAAGTTTTGGGAGCAGCCTTTCCCAGGTAACACTGTTAGGATGGGAAAAGAGGGAGGGTTTGGGAACAGCCTTTGCCAGGGAATGCTATTGGGATTGGGAAAAGAAGGAGGGTTTGGGAGCAGCCTTTCCCAGGGAATGCTGCTGGGATGGGAAAAGAGGAAGAGTTTGGGAGCAGCCTTTCCCAGGGGATGCTGGAAAAGGAGGGAAGTTTTGGGAGCAGCCTTTCCCAGGCAACACTGTTAGGATGGGAAAAGAGGGAGGTTTAGGAGCAGCCTTTTCCAGGGAATGCTGTTGGGATTGGAAAAGAAGGAGGGTTTGGGAACAGCCTTTTCCATGTAACGTTGTCAGGATTGGAAAAGAGGCAGAGTTTGGGAGCAGCCTTTCCCAGGTAACACTGTTAGGATGGGAAAAGAGGGAAGGTTTGGGAGCAGCCTTTCCCAGGAAATGCTGTTGGGATTGGGAAAAGAAGGAGGGTTTGGGAGCAGCCTTTCCCAGGAAATGCTGTTGGGATTGGGAAAGAGAAAAAGTTTGGGAGCAGCCTTTCCCAGGAACGCTGGAAATAAGGGAGGTTTTGGGAGCAGCCTTTCCCAGGGAA